TCTGCCATGTTTCTGTGAGTCATTTTTAGTGCATCTCAGTATGGTGCACAAAGACTTAACCGAACAGTGTTGCTTGAAAATAAGCGCTTTTTTTTCTCTCTCTCTCCATATTGTGCAATTCAGCAGTGGTAACCTGCAACTGAATCCTCTAATGTAGCTGGATGTATCACAGAAATAGTTTTAACTAAAACCCATAAAAAAAAAAAAAACTACATTAGGCTGGAAAAACTTCCTCACAGGTTCAGAAGTTTTCAGAGAGTTGAGCTTAAAACTTGTGTAACTGTCATTGCATCCAGCAAAAACACAATGTGGACCCTGTTTTTTTTTTTTTTTTTTTTTTTAAATATCTATATAAAATGGTGGTCAATTACAGCAGCAATTCGAGCTGGTGCTCCTACATACAGTATATAGGGTGTATATGTAGAAACCAGCGGTAGGAGCCAAATATTTCTAGGTCCAGTGTGTTTTGTTTGTGGGTGTTTGCATGTATCCAGGCATCTCTGTGAATGTAGTGGCTTTATATAGTAAATGTATTCTAAACGACTGAGAAAACAACAAAAACCTTGAATATTTTTTTTTAATTTTTATTCTTCTGCTTATGTTTTGTTAACTATCTACTGCACTGAAGTCTGTATTGCAAGAATGATATTAAATGTTGTTTACAATAAAATTGAATAGCCCTTTTGTTTGGATTTAAGAAGTTTACCTTGATGAACACAATAAAAATGCTTTTGCAAAAACTCTTACTGCAGAGGGGGTGGACTCTTTCCTATTCTGAAGTTGGTCTTGGTGAGAGGTGGCAAGCTGCTGTGGGAATCTTAATATGAAGATTGGAGAATTTCCCAGAAGAGAAGGTTTATTGCCTGTGCCTACAGGAACCTGCCCTGACTGTTGTCTGCACTTTAGAGTTCAGTTCAGAGTACCCAGCCTTTTGGAGCCCCTGGGCTTGAGGGTGCTCCCCCTGTCGCCCTACTAGCAGACTTCAATGCTCATCTGGGCAACGACTGTGAGACCTGGAGCGGCATGATTGGGAGAAACGGTCTGCTTGATCTGAACCCGAGTGGTGTTCTGTTACTGGACTTCTGTGCAAAAAACCCCCACAAATTGTCCATAATGATGAGCATGTTCAACCATAAGGGTGTCCATAAGTGCACATGGCATTAGGATACCGTACGCCACAGGTCGATGATCGATTTTCTAGTAGTATCACCAGATCTGCAGCAGTATGTTCTGGACGCAAGTGAAGAGAGGACCTGAGCTGTCAACTGATAGCCACCCGGTAGTGACTTGGATCAGGTGGCGGGTGGTGATGCTGGAAAGACCTGGTGCGCCTCAGTGTTTAGTGGCATTGTGCTGGCAGCACCTGGCAGAGGCCCCAGTTTGTGAGCTCTTCAGCTCAGAGGCATAAAGACTTTCTGACTGCCTCTAAGAGATTCTGGGAAAATGTGAGACGACTCAGCGGAGGAAAGGGGTTTCCCACCTGCACTGTGTATAGTGCAGGTGGAGCGCTGCTGATTTCAACTGAGGATATTGTAGTGCGGTGAAAGGAATATTTGGAGAAATTATTTAATCTGACTGATACATCTATTTAGGAAGCATAGTCTGGGGACGAGAGGGACGACTAGTCCATCACTGGGGGTGAGGTCACTTAAGCAGATAAACGTGACAGTCGCAAAAAAATGTTGAGACATTTTTTAGAGTATATGTTTGAGAACAAAAATTTCCTTTGGAGACAAGAACATTTACATTCTAGATCTAAAAAAAAACTGTTTTAAAACACATGAAAAAAAGAAAAGTCTCTTTTGTTGCGTTAAATCATTATTGTGGAAAGTACAAATTAAGTAAAAAGGTTACTGTTGATTAAAATGTGTTAATTTTAATCTCATAAATCATGACACACTGCTTTATAAGTATCGGTATCTGTATTGTATCTGCAATATTGGCAATGCACTTGGTATCGATACAGCACTAGCAGGCGATCCTGAGGCGACCTCTAAAAAGGGAGCCGCTGAAAGAACAGATTGCCCTTTAATATTGCCTGATTAAATGATTGCCTGCAAAATGTTCAGTCTTTACACGTTAAAATAAAAATATCATGAATCATATGACGAATATTTGCGTTATTAGAGTTATTGCGTTCTATCCATATTTACATTTAAGTTTTTTTTTCTTTTTTGAGTTTGAGGTCTTTTTTAGTCAGGCTTTTTTCTGGTCCTCTGTGCAGCTGGTGGGGTCCTCCTACGCCACACAACAAGCGACGCTGTCAGGCATGCTGTAGACAGGCTAGAGGTGAGTTTACAGAGACCGGAGATAAACTGATGATAAACTGCCGCAGGAAGACTTACCTCTGATTTGTGGGAGCATGTGGAGCCGCCTCGTCCTCCAGGCTCTGCTCGGCCAGCCTGCCGCCAGGAGCTTCTCTCTGACTGCTGCTCAGGTCGGTGTTTCCAGGGGCTCTGCGCTGTCCTGCACTACCGCAAATCTCTGTGCTCTAGCCCGCACATTACATCCACTGTGCTAAAGCACAGAGATTTGTAGTCTCTACCAGGTTGTTTAGATTTTGTATAACAAAGTTGGCACCAACTACTTTTAGTTAGCTTATAATAAACTGGGTTGAGACATACCAATGAAATGAATGCAATTTTATACAGAAATCCCACACTAAGACTCTCATAGAGGTTTAAGTCTGAAGTGCTATTGTGGTAGAGGCAATTAAATTATCTAGAAACCTGCTTGAGCTAGATCTGTCAATTTGTTAAGGTTATACAGACTCCAAGGAGCATAGATGCTAAAAACCATCTAAACACCCACCTACGTGCCTTGAATGTACTTTATTTTTGAGAAAGCCAATGACAGTAGGGGCTAGAGATTTAGCATAATGCCCATTAATACGCGTGTCTTTCTTCTGCACTATTTTCAGGTAGATCTTTGATGGGTAGAAGGTTAATTTCTTGTTGTTAAAAATATTTACATAAAAATATCCTCAGGATGTACAAATTACAGTTATTATCAGTTGGCTCACTTATTTTGTGGGTGGATGTGACGATTGGAAGGTTGGTGGTTGATGTAAGGAGCTTGGAAAGAAAAGCATCTGGACTTCTTAAAGTTTCTTGAAGTCCAGACGCTTTTCTTTCCAAGTTCTTTAGACTATGATGACCTGGATGACTGAGAACCTTCACAGTCATGTTGGAGGTTGATCCTTGGCTCCTCTAATCTTCATGTTGAAGTATCATTGGGCAAGATACTGAACCCCAGATTGCCCCTCATGCATCCACTGCACTCTGAGTGTGTGAATGTTAAGTTATTAGCACAGGGGGGAAAAACCCTTGTTTGAATGTTTGTTTGTAAAAAGTGCTTACCTAAGGGATAAAGCAATATATATGTATGATATATATGTATGTATAACAACCTTAATAACATTCTCAGTACATGAAATTAATGATTTGAAGTATCACAGAAGCTAGAGTCCACTTTCAAAATGTGTAAAGTTACGTGCGGTTGCTTGATGTTTCTGCAGAACACAGTCGTGGTGGAGCGATGGTGGCAAGTGCCCTTGTCCAAAGTAGGGAGTCCACCGAGGCTTCACCCTCGAAGACACAGAATCTACAAGCTGGTCGAGGATACCAAGCATGCTCCTAAGGAGAAAATGGAGCTCATCCTGACTCAGACGGTACCAAGTGAGTATCACAAGGAAGTTTAAACTAGTAACGATGTGTTTTCTAAAATTCTTTGTAATATGAAAACATCTTTTTGTTTTGTTTTTTTTTGTGACAGAGCTCGGCGGGCGAGGAGACACCGTGTTTGTAAGAAAGTCTGTTGGACGAAACAAGCTGCTGCCTCAAGGCCTCGCAGTGTATCCATCACCAGAGAACAAAGAGATGTTTGCAGAAGAGCTACGTGTGTGTACTCCATTTATATTCCATCATATATTTCAAATGTATTAAAGAGCAGTACTCAACATCACCTTTGTTTGTTTGTTTTTGTTTACACAGCTTTTGCGTGAGGGGAAAGCAGGAGACAGAATCCAAACCCGCACAGGACAACTGGTAAGTTTCATGTCAGGCGCTTTTGTTCAGTACAGCAAATAGTTTTAAAACAAAGATTTTAACAGGGGTTTCTTTCTGTTTTCAGACTGTGGAGCTCCTGAAGTGCTCCAAGCTAAAGATAAACAGAATGCCCTCCGAGGAGTTTCAGCTCAATAAAGAAGTAGTCTGCAGACAGTTTGCTAAGAAGGTGTGATGCCTTTCACTCAGTTTTTATCCATGTTTCTAATTAATTCTGTTAACCAGATAAGATACTCATATTGCTTTTGTTCCCGTAGTTGGGGATAGTGGTGCCACCTCATGCACTGAATCTTCCATTTGAACCTATTAAGGATGTAGGTGACTACTGGTGCGATGTCACGGTAAGATAAACTATATCAGTGCATCTCGTGGGCAACCTTTTGCACCAAGTGTAGCTTCGTACTGTGTCTTTGCAGCAGAAAGAAGTTGTAGTTACTCCATGTAAGCTCCATGCTGCAAAAAACAATTGTTTTCCTATTATTCTTATAATAAATAAACCCTTAGTTATGCATTATTTATTTATTTTTTGGACTGCTGTTTTACCAGATAACATAGAAACATGAGCAGTGTGTTATTTCTTTCAGGTTAATGGCTTGGATACTGTTCGCGTTCCCATATCTCTGTTCCCATACGAGGATCCGTCTGCAAGCTCTCAGCGGCAGTTGAAAGCCCAAAAGCGGCAGCAGGCAGCTGCAGCTGATTCAGAAGCTGCTGATGAGGAGGGCACTGTTTTAAAGGCAGTTTCTGACGCAGCGGCAGAGGCTGAGGCTGGTGAAGAGCCTGCAGGATCCACTGCCACAGCTACACAGACAACGGCAGACACAACAGCACCACCAAGTGGAAGCCTGATAAAAGATTAAAGGACTCAAAATGCGGATGATGTTTGGCTGTAATGCACATGTGTGCGTAGCAACAGCTGTCTGTATGTCTATTAAAATTGCTCAGTGTCACATTCTGATTATTTTGAACAGTGTTAAAATAGCCGTCCATCTTGTACTGCTTATCTGGGTCCTGGTTGTCGGGGCAGCAGTCAGATACCAACGCTCCTCCCTCTCCCCAGGGACACTGAGTGGTTCCCAAACCAGCTAGAGGCATAATCTCTCCCCGGTGTGTCCTATGTGTGACACAGGGTCGCCTCCTACCCAGGAGGAAGTATACTGGCAGTGTGGAGGTGTAGCGTCTCCACTATCGAGTCCTCCCGAATGACCAGGCTCCTTAAAGCTGAGAGTCCACACACTTTAAAGCACAATGTTTATAGCAGTTTTTAAAATCAGTTTTCAGGATGAGAATAAATAACACAAAACTGGTAAAGAGCCATCAGGATCAGCAGCTACACAGGAAACCTTTGAGTGGGAAAGTTTGTTTTACTGTATGCAGCATGAGTATTATTGTGATAGTAGCAATAATGAAAACTGCCCATAGACATACAAAGTGTAAGCAGTCAGGAAAATCAAGTTTATTGATCAATTTTAACTCGACAATGCACAAAAGTAAATGGTAAACCAAAAACCAACAAATTATTCCGAGGAATGCTGTTTAATGTCATGTTAGTGGAGTGCCAATACAGTTGTGTGGTTTGCAAGTCGTTGCATGAGATCTGCTGAAATCAAAGCTCTGCAATTTATTTTATTTATGTCGGCTTCTTTCTTCTGCTCGTGTTTAGAATTTAGCTGTAGTATTTGAGGCAGATCAGATTGTGTAATTGTTTCTGATAAGAGTTCACATTTAAAGTTTGACAACGCAAGATGTATGAAATGTATTGCATTTAGAGGAAATCTGGCTCAGGTTTGAACACTTCTGCTGTCGGGACAAAGAACAGAGGACTCGTGGAGGCTTGACTATTGCTTTGGTAAAGACAAAATGTAGTTACATAGAGTCTGGAGATATAAAAAGCATATTTTTACTGCTTTCCATCTGAGAAAGTTGAACAAATCACTAAATTCCCCCCCCCAAATTTGATGTTTAAAAAGAAGAAGAAAAAAATACATGTAAAATGTTTAAAAAAATGAATGTAATCTCCATTTTTAAGGTGGGTGTTTTGCTTTTAGCACCGCCCGCCCACCAGATGCTGCTACCATGTTAAAAATCATATTGATTTAGAGTCTTCAATGTTTCCTCAGAGCAAGAAGACAATGACGTTCATGTTTGGTTCTCTGGTCTTTTTTAGTTTTCCAGTGGGAGAAAATGAAACACACATTAAAAAATAAGAAAAATAAAACTTTTACAAACAAAAGTAGGTATCAGTTATATAATAGCAAACTTCTTATTACTAATGAGCAACTGCAGCAAGTACATGTTTATCAGAAAACAGTCGATCCTGTGTGCAGATATGTAACACGTCACAGCTTTCCAGTGACTCCAGCTTGTTTAAAATGAATAACATCCAGATTTCATTAATAACTTGCATCATTCCCAGAGAACCAAACCTTTGTTTCTGTAGATCACAAAGAAGTACAACATGAACAGGAAGCATAAACATTCAAAGGAAAAACATTTATAATAATGGCCACTTCAGAGTCACTTTACATCTGTTCTGCCAATGACTGAGCAAAAGTACCTTAAAAATACTGTTACATAAGTATAGTGCCTCTATTTAATATAAATGACAGTGAATGGGGAGTGTAGCGGTTGTGGCTGGATCTTAGATATAAGAATAACACCTGGTCAAACAACAGAACTACTGAATATTAACAGGTCAACACAAATACAGGATGGAGGGCAGGAAGGAAAATCTGTATCCAGACTGTATGCTTACTGTTTCTAAACATGTTTCCTCTTTGTGGAAGTATATTTGGAAAGCTCTACTCTAATTTCTGTATGCCACCACAGTCCACAGTCATGATGTTTAGAAGCCATATTTGGCCTGGGTCTGTCGGCGGGTTAACCTGTTTTCTGCCCAGTTGTTTTTCAGCTCCAGCTCACGTTCCTTTGCCTGTGAAACGACAGGGAAAGTAAGAAATGTTGTTTATTTGAACAGATTTCCAATAAGAAGACAAGAGATGCAGCTACGGTGAGCTAAACCATGTGGGATCAGTAAAGTATGCAAACCTACTCTGCGGGTCAGACTACAAGAGAGGGAACACCTGTGCATAACAAAGCTAACACTAACATTCTGGCAGAGATAAGGGCAACTATTTAGTTTTTTCTAATCCTTTGTGCAGGCTTCTTTCTTGCAGCTTATTGTGCTAATCACTGGCACACTGCAGCTGACAATAATAATGGATTGGATTTATATAGCGCTTTTCAAGGCACCCAAAGCGCTTTACAATGCCACTATTCATTCACTCTCACATTCACACACTGGTGGAGGCAAGCTACGGTTGTAGCCACAGCTGCCCTGGGGCAGACTGACAGAAGCGAGGCTGCCATATCGCGCCATCGGCCCCTCTGGCCCACACCAGTAGGCAGCAGGGTAAAGTGTCTTGCCCAAGAACACAACGACCAGGGCAGAGAGCCCGGGGATCGAACCGGCGACCTTCTGGTTACAGATACGATTCCCAACCCCCTGAGCCACAGGCGCCCCTAACTAGACAACTAGACTTTAGGATAGCTCTGTACAAACAGGCCACCAAGCAGAAGTATTACGTGTCTACACATGCCGCACAGAGTGCAGATTTCCACTCTGTCTCACTTTCAAAAGCAGAAAAATGATCTGTGAAGTTGGACTGCGGCTACAAAGTCTTGAATGAAATTTACATCATACAAATGCACAATGCGTGTTTTAGCAGCACCCACCTGGTGGATGAGATAAGTTATCTGATGCTTGCGTCGCTGCTGTCCTGTAGGTTGTTCTCCTCTTTTCTGTGGAAAGGTAAAGAAAAGCGGGTGTTACAAAAAATTAAAGAAAATATTCCATCTTAAAATCATGCTGTGCATCAAAATTTTAGTGAGAGGAACATAGGACAATCTGTTGCAAAAACAAGAGGAAGCGAGCCGATCGGGTCACCTTGCTAAAAGACTGCCGATGCTGCTTCTCTTCGGTCATGCTCTTGGTCATCCACTGCTGGTTGCCGCTCAGCTGGTCGTCGCCTTTGATCTCCAGAAACTTCACCTCCTCTTTGCCCCTGTTTCTTTTCCCCTGCAGCCGCATGAACTGCAGGACAAAGAAAATACCGGTTAACCAAAACCTTTTCTTAATTAACAGCCTCTAGTTGAGGACAAAACAATGATAACACCATAGAGCACAGGTACAAAAATCAGTCTATGTAAATAATAGAATTTGCTCTGATAACAAATAAGAAAAATGAGGCACACAAGTAGCATAGTTCTTACCGCTTCATCATCAAACATGGCTGAGTTGCCGGGCTCTTCAGCCTCTGCTATTCCCGGGTTGGGATCTTGGTAATATGGCTCATTGTAGTATCCCTGTTCAAGCAAAAAGACATAGGATAACAATATAATTCATTCATGTTAGCTACATTGTGACTCTTGTAATTGAGAGTCTGACACAGCATTCATACTTTAAAAGATATCTTTATCTTAACTGGAAAACACTGAAATGCAGGCATGTCTGAACTAACATGATTTATGACTTATTAGGAAAAGCTGGCATCATCTAATTGAACATAATGACTCAAGTTAACAGCATGAATCTGATACATATGTACAGTATAAAGTCATTATTACCGGAGGAAAAGCCTCTGGGCCCGCTATGGGTTGTTCATATTCATTATATTGACCTCCCCATGCGCCACTTGTCTCATGTTTTCCCCCAAAGTCGAGAGGGGCATCCGACTGCCCCGGTTCATCAGGAGCTGCAAAAGGAAGGGGCTCTGCAAGGGCTCCTGGCTCAGGGTCCAAGCTGGGGACAACTGCAGGTAGAGGTTGAGAGCTCTCGCCTAGAGAAAAGTAGTTCTGTGGGGTTATGTCCTCTTCATTATCCTGGTCATCTGAAGCTATCTGTCTAGCCAGCTGGAGGGCAGCTGACTTTGCTGCAGCTTTGATGGCGGAGGGAGACGCACTAGAACCAAGACCATGTGCAGGGGTTCCAGGTTTGGGTGCTTTCGGTTCTTGCCGTTTAGTTAGCGAATGAGGGATCAGAGGTCTGTCCGTCTCCTTCACTGTCAGGTTTTTGGGTTGTGGCAGAATGGAGGACAAGCCTGTACCTGCACCCTGACAGAGAAAGGAGATATGGGTTCAAAGAAAGAGGAAATGGCAGCTACATCATAGGAGAATGTTGTTACACTATGAAATCTGAGGAAAATAAGATATTCTTTGTCACTGGTTCCTACTTTGTTTTTATTTAATTTAAACCTCAATCAAAGAAAGAAACAATGAGAAGAGTGAAGTGGCAGACCTACATCTAGGCTAGAAATCATATAACGTGTATTTACATGCGAACCACTGTGCAAGCCAGGTTAATCTGCAGTATTTTATAACAAATAAGCATTTAGATTTTGTGTACACAAGCCTATAACATGTTTACGAGCTCATTACACTGAGGTAACATTTTATTCAAGAAACAGCATAGGGACCTTTCCCCAACACCAACATTGGTGCCTCACTGGTATATATGCATGTTGAACTATATCAATGCCTGTTTTGTATTTTTACTATTTACTACCATTTTATCTAATTCAGAAATACGTTTATTCCACATTCCCAAGGTTGATTGTGTTCATCTGGATGAGCGTTTTCAATGGGAGAAACATTTCGTCACTCATCCAAGTGACTTCTTCAGTCTCAGCTGACTGCAGGTTTACTCAACCTTATAAACAGTACATCTGCACAATAACAAACCAGCCGACTGAATGAACAATGGACTGTGAGGTCAATTCCTTGATCATTAATATGCAAATTGTCATGACCATTGACCAAAAAACCACTGATCAATGGCCATGAGTACTGCAGTCAGCTGAAACTGAAGGAGTCACTTGGATGAGTGACGAAAGGTTTCTCCCATTGAAAACGCTACGTCCAGATGAACACAATCAACCTTTTGGGAATGTGGAATAAACTTCACATAACTGCATGTGTCTGATTTGCTTACCTGATTTTGTAGTTTCTTCGTTGCTGGTTCGTCATCATCTGAGTCTGACTATGAACAACAGGGTTACAGATGATGAATTAAAACCTTATTTTATGCAAGAGGTATGAGCAAACAGCTTGAAGTAGCTCAGTACTCACATCCTGCCTCTGGATCTGCGGCACGGTGATCTTGACGGGCTCTGTCCGTTTCCTTGGCTTGGGTAGGCTGGAGAATAAGCTTCCTTTAGATGGCTGAGGATCTGGATCATCGGCTGATGAGCTATCCTCTACTGCAGTGCTCAATGCTGTCTTCTTGGCTGGCCCTTCGGTCCCTCCTGCCGATACCGTTTTTTTAGGAGCAGGCAGGTGTGAGAAGAGCCCTCCTGCGCTGGGTTTGCTCTCCGGCACGGCAGAGGTTTCCTCTGAGTCACTCTCATCACTGCTGCCATAGGCGACTAAAGACATGTTTGCTAATGTTATTAAATATGAGCAATCTGCAGAAACTCGTGGACATGGATAACCTCTTCTCCTTGATCGCAAGAAGCCGTACTCACACTGGCTTATCCGACGAACTGACTTCTGTTAAAAGGTAAGGGAATCTCTGATCGCTAAAGCTGCGATGATAACGACATGAAGCCGAGCGAAGCTGTAGTAGAATATAGCGCAGGGAGTTAAAAGGGGTCGCCGCAATGAAACGACTGACTCAAAGCTCTGTCCAAGTTCGCAATGCTAGCCAGTGTTAGCTAGGCCACCGCAACAAACGATATCAGCTAGCTGACCGCTGTGTTCCAGAAAAAAAAAGCAGCTCTCCTTAAAAGTGCTATTATAAATAAAGCAGCAGCTATGTTGTTTCACACCACAATGCGCAACTTTACTGTGTTGTTTCGCCAACAAAATAAGCTCGTTTAGTCCCTTGGCTCCATCAAAACATTCGCCTCCATCGTTCGTGATCGAAAATGCGACAACTGCGCAGCTTTTTGCGCAACACTCTTCTTCTTCTCCTCCTCCTCCTCCTCTTTCTTCTTCTTCTTCGTGTTTAACGGCGGTTGGCAACCAACGTAAAGGAGCATTACCGCTTCCTACTGTTCCGGAGTATGGGTCAGACAGTGAGCTTACAATCTGTGTCCAAAAAACAACACAAAACCAAAAAAAAAGACCCTACAGTCTTTCATAAACACCTATATCCTTCAGAAACCCCACCAGTTCTCTCACCTGTGCCCTACTATCCTCCAACACACTCTTCAGATTAAATTCCCCAATTCCCCGCTCCTTCAATCTATTCTGCAGAACTTTCCTCTCCACATCATAACCCTTGCACCGCAGTATTACATGCTCTTCCTCTTCTCCGCTTCATTAATCACATTTTAAACAACTTCAGACCACTATCGCCCCATATGGCTCGAATAGGGAAACAATATGATTTCGAAGCACATCTATACTTTTGATTATCAGGACTGTACCGACAACTGGCGTCAACCTTTAAAATATTCTTTTTTTTATGCTTTAGATTTGTAGTAAACTGTTCTGCTTCAGTAATTTAAATGTATACATAATTAGAGCAGCAAAATTATACAGACATCATAAAAAGTGAAGACTTGAGCATTTATACATGTTGTCCCCTTTTACTCTTGCCCTTCTGAAGAAAATGCCAAAACAGTCTTTAAACAATAATGCTGAAAAAAAGAAAGAAAAGAAAATCAGTGACCTCAGACAAGATTCATGGGTGTAGAGAAGGATGATAGACAGGGGGCTAGTGTGACAGAGGAAGATAGAGAGAGATAGAGGCGACCCTCAAAAGGGAGCAACCAAAACAAGACAAAGAAGAACAAGCCACAGTAATGTGTCTGTGAAGGTTCTCAGTCATCCAGGTCATCGTAGTCAAAGGAGCTTGCAAAGAAAAGCGTCTGGACTTCTTTAAGTTACTTGAAGACGTTTCACCTCTCATCCGAGAAGCTTCTTCAGTTCTAAGGTCAAATGGTGGAGAGTCCCAGATATAAACCTAGAAACAGGATTTAAACCTTTAAGCTAGAGATGGCACGATACCACTTTTTTATGTCCGATACCGATACCGATATCATAAATTTGGATATCTGCCGATACCGATATGAATCCGATATAGTGTTTTTTAATCAACAAAACTTTTTAAATATCTTGCTGCATTTTGTATAAGTTCATACTCAAGTTTAAAACAACAACTACACTAAAGCTATTCTGTTATACCTGTATACAAAAAAAATATTTCATAGTTCAGCAATACTGATCAATCTAATAAACTTAGACCTACACCATCCTCCCTATTCTGGTATTTTAAAGAGTACTTAGCGTAAATATTAAGCAACCTAACTAATAGGGTTCCAACTCCCAGCAACAACAAAAATAAATAAATAAAAATAGGGAACCACCCCTCACGCTCCACCTCATGATGCTTAATCGACGTAATCAACCTTAATTTGATGCAGTGTGAAAAAAATGCACAGAAATCAATTATTTTTCAAGAAATATTAAATAGATTCAACATCTTTCTTCAACAAAATTGCAGACTGCACAGATGGTACCTTCCCAAAGGAAAAAGTACTATAGCTTACTAGGGTATATATATTAGACTTAATAGTCACTATATACAGTAATTGACTTCTATTCATTTTACATCAAATTAAAACTTTGGGTGTCAGATAATTATTTATTAAAAGCTAGACATTTTAAATGAGAATAAGAAAGAAAAGTATGTCTTTGTGCCCCCTTTTCCCAGTTAATGCCCTATCGGCCCCCCTGGCTAAACTTTGCTAGATCCGCCCCTGCACAGTTACCAGCCGTCAGCTACGTAGAAAACGATCCTGGTGTAGAAAGTAATATTAAATAAATTGTAACAACAGCTGATCAAGCTTAAACGTGCTGCTGTTGTTCAGCCGCTGGTTTCCTCTTTCTGGCGCAAAGTGGACCAAAAACAAACAAGAGAGACTCGCGACAGAAAAGCCGATCAGCTGATCATTAGCAGTTTCACGATTGAAGTAGCAGCCGGAGAGCGAGAGGCAGTCGCTCGTTAAGCTTAACGCAGGAATGCTTTACAAACATTCAGAGATGGACTTACACACTTGCTTTACTTCTCTCGGGGATAACTTTGTCGGAGATGAAATGCCAGGTTGCTAGCGAAGCTCCAAATGCTATCCAGACCACCGACAGGTCCCGCATGCCACAGCCACTCTATCACGTGATGCATACTGCTCCGACGTGCTAACGTTCTGAGGTGAGTTACGGCGTATGTGAGGTGCTTTCGTGATATTTAATGGATCGGATTACATTTTTTATTTTTCTCCGATATCCGATCCAGTAATTTAGGTCAGTATCGGACCGATACCGATACGTAATATCGGATCGGTCCATCTCTACTTTAAGCTTCAATTAAAATGTGACAGTGGAGCTGTCTGCTTGTTGAAGTAACTGAAAGAGTTTTTCTCCTCCTTTATATAATTGATTTGTGGCCATTATTGGAAGATTTTGTAGGTTTTCATGAGTGGATTGTGAAATGAGAATCGATGATTAATCTTTGATGGGTGTGTCAACCTTTACCAGACAGCCTGCTGGGCTCATACTTTTGCACTACAGGAACTTTAGTCATATCAAATTTGAACACTGTGGTATGTTCACAGGACTTTAATCTCTCTTTACATTTTTTGGTTAATCTAAGATGTGCTGTAGTATGAACCACAGTTGTGCTGAATAAGACCTTCACAGGATCACCAGTGTGACCACCAAGGCCAGCATTACACAAGTGTGAGATAAACATCTGCCATCAACGATGATAAGATTGCACAGGCTCTTGGTCTTACCCAGTGGAAGGATTTGAGAGAAACTGTACTAGTGTAGAATTTAGAGCCTGTTAGAGTGCCTGTGTTATCTAATTTAGCAAAAGTTTGTAAAATTTCCTGGTTACTTTAAGCTTTTGTTAAAGCCCACTTGTTAAAAATCACAGTCCTAGTGGGTGTCTTGTTTTTCGAAAGCCAAAACCTCCTTGGTGGACAATTGAAAATGTCAATACATAGGAAACCCCCTGAATCTGGTTGAGTAAGAAAAATAATTAAGTTACCCATCATTACTTACTACTAATTATCTTGGACATTTGTACTTGTTTTTAACCAGATATTTAACTCTTAGTTAAGTTCCTCGGGTTGTAAAGCATGGCCTTTTTAAAGACCTTTTGGTGAAGTCTGAATTGTAGTCTCAGTTTTCCACCCAGTATAGGTGCTGCTATAGCCCATCTGCTTTAAGGTTGCTGTTCATTCAGAGATGCTCTTCTGCATACCTTGGCTGTAACAAGTAGTTATTTGAGTTTCTATAGCAATCTTATCAGCTGAAAGCATTTCTATCCAGAGAAGCGCCATTCACTGGATATTTGTTCTCCTTCAGACCATTGTCTGTAAACCATAGAGATGTTTGTATAGGAAAATTACAGGATATCAGCTTTTTCTGAAATATTCAGACAAGCCCTTCTTCTTTTGGCTGCTCCCTTTGGGTTCTCACAGCTGATCACCTGTCTCCTTCTCACCCTGTTTCTTATATCCTCCTCTGTCCTGCCTACCCTCTGTATGTCCACCTTCACTACATCAGTGAAGCTCCTCTGAGGTGTCCCTCTTTTCCTCCTGCCTGGCAGCTCCAAATTCCAAATGTTTAGTCCAGTATATCTAGCAGCCCTCATCTTCACATGTGCAAACCATCTCACGCTTGCTTCGCTAACTTTGTCTCCAAAATGCTCAACATGAGCTGTCCCTCTGATGTGCTGAGCTCCTCCAGCTCAGCTTCTTGTCTTTTAGCCAGCTGTTGCTGTTATGTGATTGGCTGATTAAATATCTGCGCTAACGAGCAGCTGTACCTAATAAAGTGGTCGGCGTTGCTTTTAGGTGCGTTAATTACTGTGGTGCTTCGGTCAGCAGGGGCGCTGTGCCGCTTCAGGTACAGGGGGCGCGTCTGCAAAGGGAAGCGGGTTTCAATTTCAAACCCAAATAGTCCGAGGGACGAGCCAGCGGCTTGTGGGAAAGCGCTAATACGAGATAGTTACACTACCGCGTTTAGTCATAGCAACTGTAACACTATTCAGACCACATCTGTATATTTGCCCCACGTCGTGGTAAAAGTGCGTTACCCGCCGTGTCTCCGCTCCAGTTTTCCGCGGGTTGATTTTATTCTGGATAACAAACCGTCGCCTGCCTGGCTTGCTTGCTGCAGGTGTTTTTGACCACTACGGATAGTTTACCACATTAGTTACACACGCACATATTTACATCTTACATTTTCAACATGCCGAGGTCCAACAGGCAAAAGGAATACAAACCCGGAGATCTTGTGTTTGCTAAGATGAAGGGCTATCCACACTGGCCTGCAAGGGTAAGTAAGCGCTCGTCGTTGAATATCTCATTTCCAGCGTAGGGGTTTGGTTTTCATCTCGTTGCGCCTTAGCCGCTCGGCTCCAATCACTTGTTTACCTGCGAGGCCTGTAACAGCCGCTAGCTCCACGAGTTAGCCTAGCGCGGCGGTGCCGACCATCCACATACATACAGCTAGCCTACTGTAAACCACTGCGAATTTCTTTCTGGAGATTCATCGCAGAGTAGACACCTCTTTAACCTCCCGGGCTAACAAAATATTAATGTTTTTGCCAGTTGCTCTTTGCCGCCTTTAGTGTGCTGGTCTTTTTTCGTCCCTAGGGGCCTTGTAAGGCTAACTTTGAGCTGTAACGGTTAAAACCAGCACTGTGGTAACACAGCATTGATTACTAGTTAACGGTCAGGTCGTACGCAGCGTTAACGTGTGCTTCGCTGCAACGGTGGGCTGCTACTAAGCCACTTTGTGAGTTAGCAGCTCGCTAAATATAAGTTCAAACTGCCCCCCTTTCTTTTTAACTGTTGCTTTACAGACTAATGGCTACTTGTGAAGCCAAATGCTGTGGTACTTTGTAAACACGCCTGCCCAAATGTTCCGAGAGATAGCAACTCGTAAAGTCGAAATTAGTTCCATTACATTAAAAAAATGCTCCATGGTAATAAAAATAGTCACGTAAGACTATAACGTAATGTCTAACTGGCACTGCGGTCGGCATTTTCCTTGTCATTCAAAAGAAAAAAGTGAGAAAATGAAGGGAAAAGCTGCTCTTGGAGCATTTTTAAGTTATGCTTTATACCAAATAAATAAAAAAAGATGATTACTGCAACCAATACGTTAGTTCTGTGCATGCTGCATTACAGCTGAAGCAGGAAAATGTGAAAGCGAAGCAGCATGTAATCCCATCAGCCACATCTGCCTTGTGCAGTTGAAAAGGAAAACTTAGATTGCAGTTTTCAGTCAGTGTTTCTGCCCTTTGGTGTTGCAGCCATTCATAAAAGTCAACTAACTGTGTCTACCTGCTTTAAAAAAAATCACTGTTCATTCATTTAAAGAATAAATATATAAAAAGAAATGCTCTATAATCTGCACTACACCACCTAGTATCTGTTTTGATCTCTGCATCTTCCCTCCTTTTTCTCGGTCTTATCACCCCTGTCTCATGTCAACAGCCCTGCCCCACCTATCCTGACACAGTAGTCCTATCTGGGGATGCCAAAAGGCCTGTGTGGCAGAGGCAGAGCCACGCCACGATTGTCTATCATAAGAGTGATTACCTGTGCCGCTGCGTAGTGCTGTGCTAATTTAAAAGCATGTAAAAAAATTGGCATGTCCGAGCCAAACACTGTGCTGAAAGATGGTAAACAGTAAAACTTTCACCAGGGAGTTTGTGGGTGCATCAAGGTGTGTAATATATTTCAAAAACTGCTTGTTATTTAGTACTGTACAAGAATTTGCAGGTCTTTGAACCTAATTTAGCTTTACTGTTTAAACT